ACTCTGTTTTTCCATGCAGCGTGACGTTAAAAACAGAATTTTCGCGGGAAAATTTAGCCTAAAAAATGGTAAGGACTTGTCGAGTTTGAAATGTTTACATAGGTTAATAACGATTTCCCAGCTTAAATATTCTATTTTGCAGTCCAGTTAAATATTTTTACAAATATTTTAGTAAATCATGAATAATAATCGCAGAACGTCGGTATAAGATGATATTCTTCGCTAAAAATTTGGCGGGAAATATTTCTGGCTAATGATTTTTTTTTGGACTTTGCGAGACCAATTACTCCGATTTGCCTGTAGATACCAATTTTAACTAAACTGGATATTGATAACAGTGCAAAAGACTATCACAAAAATTTCTTTCTGTGGAAATAAACTGCCGCACTTTTGAAAAACGACTCGCTGAAAATGGCTAAAATTTGGGTCACGCTCATGAACGATTCGGCGGCGATATTTGGCACCTCGTGAAAACCGTAGAATTAATGCGAAAGACCTCTAATAATTCTCAATCAACTAAAAAGGGGACAAACATTATCTCATGAAAATAAGAGTTTCTGGAATTTGTACGAAGTATCCCTTTAGGCTCACCTAAAGTTGCCCGAAATTTCGATCATTTTAAACCGCTTAACAGGCCAAAATCATGATGTGGTGATATCTCGAAGAAAACGAACGCCTACCTCGGCAAATGTCATGGTTGTTACTCTTTTCGGATAGCTTTTAATTCGTGTAAAGATGAATGTGAACGGCCGACCTCGATCTTTTGGTACTGCCCGGTTTTCTCTGACAATGACTCTTAATTGCCATTTCGGTTGCTTCTGCTGCATTGATGTTTTGTTGCATTGCTGGTTTTGACATTTGTTCTGTATGATAGGAAATGTTGAGGTGCATCAGCTACTGTCTTTTGGTTTTCCTAATGGTTTTCTCATATTCTGTTTCATCAGCAGGTAAGTCATTACATGTACATTATTTTTAAGACATTGACTTAAGGCATATTTCCTCTTACTGACCAAGTTTAAGGTCCATATGTATACTTAATAATTATTCCATGTGCGTACGTTGGATATGAGTTGTCTATAACCAATGTGATTATCCAACAAGAATGAATGGAATAATTAATATTTTTAATTATTAAATTTTATTTGTAAATTATGTATGCTTGTATACATACTTGAAAATTTATAATTTTATTAGATTCTGCTTTGATTTTACAAAATGACTGGACGTTGATGTGACGAAAACAGCAAAAGGTGAAAATCACATGACAGGCGCGCCGTTTCCAAACTTAGTTGAATGAAAAATTTGAAAGCTGAACAAAAATTACAAAAGTCCGATTCCGATATATTAAAATTCTAACTTGGCTTCGAGGCTTAGGGGAATAAAACAAAAGAAATCGCATCGAGGATGAGGGATGAATAATTAATTTCTTTTGTTTTATTCCCCTAAGCCTCGGAGCCAAGTTAGAATTTCAATATATCGGAATTGGCCTATTAAGTAGAAATCAAGGAAAGACTATCAAATGAAGGAGATACTACCTTGGTCTTAAAGTTTGAAAAGCATTCAGGTTTGAGTCATGGAGAAGTGCAAGAATTGTGCTAGCTTGCACATTGCAAGCCATCTCACGTGGTCCAACACCACACATTGTGGACTCGATCCGCAATAATAACAACCCCGGGACCAGATGCAGCCAAGACCCCTACCCTCAGAGACACCGCTGCAAAACCTGCAATGAAAACCACCCTACCTACTGCCATGACCACCCCTCTCTAATAACTAGAGGCCAGGCTGATAAAAAGTCATCGAACTGCTGAAGCCTTGCTCTCTACGAAGCCCCCCAAACCAGTGAATACTTCCCTTTTAACTGAGCTACTCAGGACCCACTCTAACCAGGATTTTGTTCCTAAACTTTCTGTTGGGATAAGCCAAGGTTTTTGGGTGGGTTCCCAGGGTAACCAATTCCCCAGAACAGCCAAAAACCCTC